ATACTGAAAAATTAAAAGTAATGTAAAAATAATTTTGCTTTTATCTTTTGGCATAAAAGTAATGATATAATAGTAAAATACAAATATTTGTAAAAAAAAATAATTACTTTATAATAGACATGAATCACATGCCGAAAAAACAATTCAGCATAGGTGCCGAATACTTTAAAAAGCATTTATATTAATTTATATAATTTAATTTTATTGTTAATATAATTAGAATAAACAATCTTTTAATTATTCTTAACCCGATTTTGACTATTTTATAATTGAAAATTTCAAAATAAAAATATATATATTTTATGTATATATTATTTATGTCATAAAGTACCACTATTGGAACATAAGACTAAGCTTAAAATTCAAATATACGCATTCAAAGGGTTTTTTTTTTTTTTTTTTTGTGTTTTTTTCGTATTTTCTGCCACATGTAAATTTCACTATTTATCTATGATACTTTATTTATTTATTTTTAAAAAAATCACATTAAATATCAATATATATATTATATTAAAGAATTATTAAATTTCAAAATTTTATAATTTTAAAAATACCAAAACACCCCCAAGTTGCTTGTCCTAAAGGGCATGCACGCTTACGACACGTGCGTCTAGATACGTATACGTACGTACATGCATGCATATATATATATTTATTTATTTATTTACATACATATACATAGAAACATTCTTTCATTCTGTGCATGTATAATTAATTTGTTGCTACGTATTTATTGTACGGCATAATCATATATTCCCTCCATCCCACGTACCCTGTCTGCTACACTGTACACGGTATTTTAGAAGGAATGTAATTAGTAGATAATTAATCATATATTAATAAAATAATTATTCTATAATATAAATAATTATAAATTAATATTAAGATAACTAATTAGTTTAATTAAAATTAAAAAAATAAATTAATAAATTTAAAATGAGATTAGAGTGTAATTATTTTTCAAAAAAAAACGTGACATAAAATGGACGGACAAAAACGACAATGTGAACATGGTATGTGGGACGGAGGGAGTATTAATTTGTCAGCTCCTCAATCAATTTTTAGTATATACTGATTTGGTTATTATATTATTTATCTATTCATTTTTAAAAGATATTACATAGTACAAAAAGCATCATATTAATTAAGTTTGATTTCATTTTTTTACTATGTAATTATTATGATTTCTTAAAATTAAAATTAAAATATAATATTTTATATCACAAAACACCAATTTCGAACTACTATTTAAATAACGAATAAAATAAATAAATAAATCAAAGTACCCCATTTCAGAATTTTGTTATTATTAACTTGAGACGTTTCAAATTTTTCACTACAAAAAAAATAATCTATTTGTAACGGAATTCCGTCCCTAAAGTTCACGTCGCTAACGTAATTTCATTCCTAATTCCGTCTCTAATGTCATTAGTAATGGAAAAAGTAGATTTAGAGACAAAAAAGTTTAGTTACAAAAATGATTTTTTCTTGTAGTGTTTACAGCATTTTTTTTATTTGCACTTAAATTTTATCTATTGTCATTCAAAATACTAACAATTTGTAAAATAATTCAGATTTATATATATATATTTATCAAAATCGTATTATCTAAAATATTTTTAGGTTTAATTTAGTATAATATTTTATACTAAAGTAGGAAATAAAATATGACAAAATAATAAGTATATATTTATATATTTATAATGAATGATTGATGATAAATATAGAATGATATATATGATTGGGTGTTGTTACATATTACCAGTCTCTTAGGGCATTTCCCAATATTTAATTCTCGGCGGAAATTTGGTTGACACAATTGAATTGCATAATATTATTTATTATTTTTATAATATCTAATATTTTTTTATATTTTAAGTAAAAGTAAAATATATATATATATAGAACGGAGGGTATGTAAATGCTGGTCAAAGTTTGACCTGTATTTCTAATAATTATTACTTTTTTCGTCCCACATATTTTGGACGCGTTACTGTAGATATGGAAATTTAGGTAAAGTATAATCGGTAAGTAATGAAAAAGTGTATTAGTAAAAATAATTATAGATTAAGATTAAGATAATTAAATAGTTTAATTAAATTTAAGAAAATTATAAATTATGATATTTAAAATATAATTAAAATGTATAATTATTTTTAAAAAAAATAAAATAACAATTATATAAGACAAACGAAAATGAAAAATAGGACAAATTTTGTAGGAGGAAGAGAAGAGAGTATTAATTATTCTCTACGGTTCTCTTCCTCCGTTTCGTGCGGTGGTCTTCTTATCATCTTCTCTTTGTTCTATTTATTGCTCCCACAAATATTCAACAATAATTAAAGGGGTTGCTTATTTTATCATAGCAAAAATATTCATTATTTTATTTTATTTTTCATAAATCCTTTTCATTCATCATTTGAGAGTTTAAAATATGGGGGTGGTTATAAATATATAACATAACATAATTCTATTCTCTATGTCTCAAACATTGCATAATATTTGACTATTAGGATCATTTGTAAATTGATGTGATATAATGAGAGATAAATATATATATATATATATATATATATTTATTTGGGTGATAAGTGATTTTCTATTTTAAAAATATTTTAAGGAGTTTAAGATAGATAAAATAAAAAAATGTTTCTAGATAATTGAGACAGATGAAGTATCATATAAAAATGTAAATTGTGCAATTTATACGTTGTATTGTGCTTAAATCAATAATATATCGAAACTATATTTTGTATTGTCAACATATGCATAGTATATTGTATTAACTTGTGTTATTCACTTTGCTAATTTATATTGACCGAGTTAAATTTAATTCAATCAGCATAAAAACTAAATTATACATATATATATATAAATATAGTTAGGTTGCCCTACACTATGCAAGATCACGAGAGATAGAATTTACTATTTACTATTTAAAATTCAAATTTAAAATCAAAATTTCACAAACAAACACATAAGTACAATTTGTAAAGCTTGTGAGAAGTTGACGTTCGATAGGCCGAAACAAGATCTTGGGAGGGGGTATGTTTAATTTATATTTCAAATCAAAATATTATTATTATTCAGTGTAACGGTTTTAATAAATATATATTATATTTTATATCACATTAAAACGCTATTTAAATTAAAAATAAAATCAAAGTCAAAGAAACCCAAGAATATTAAGAAAAAATAGAAATAAAAACATACAAATGTATGAACTATTTACAAGAACAAAAAAAATGAATAAAAGTTTGTTTTCTTATTGTATACATATATTAATAATTGTTATTGAAAATTATAAAAGTATTGTTAAAATATTTTATTTTAATTTTTGTTAATTTTTAAATATTTTGTGAAAGAATCAAACAACCAATTCATTGTACACTACTAAAGACTAAAGAGTATACAAGCATCTTAATTTTTGTATTTAAATTTAAAACTGGTGATTGTTAAAGATTTCATCTAAATAAATAAATATATATTAATATTAATATTGATGCATGTGTGGTATATGTAATAACATAATTAATACATGGTGTGGTGGGTGGTATATTTATTTATGTTCCCCAACTATTTTAATATTTCCTCCGTCCAATATCTATATATTCATTTATTTTTTATATGGAGTTTTAGAGATATTAGTATTATATTGGAATGTAGTAGAAGTAAAGATAAAAAGATTAAATTGCTCTTATCAGTATTGTATGATATAAAGATAATGAAATTTGTGTAATATATTGTAAATTTGAAAGATATCTGTAATGTTAGGTAGAGAGTACAATTACTAAAAAAGGAAATGAATATTTTGTTATAGGGCAGACAAAAATGAAAAAATGGATACATTGTTAAAGAATGAACCGAGGGAGTACTTAATGATTTATAATAATATATTACTTTGTTTAATTAAAAAAAGAAAAAATGAAGTTTTCATTTTCATTTTTTTTATTACTATTAAGATATATTTAAAAATAATAATTACTAACTGTTGTTATTAATTTTATTTTTTAAAATGGGTACAATTTTCAAGTATCGCATGTCACTCCAATCATTTTTGTAAGTCTAAAATTTAATTTTATAATGTTATTTGATGCTTCGGTTTTTGTGAAAACCGTGGGCAACTGTGGACTTTAGAAAAAAAAAAAAAAACACCCAAGTTGAGTTAAATTTATTTAAAAAATGATAATGTTTTATATTTGATAAACAATATGTAAATATATATAAAGGTTATGTTCATTTTGTATTTTTAAGAGTAAGTGTTTTTTAGTTAAGTTTGAAAATTTGGATCAATAATATAAAAAATAGTATTATACTATATTAAATATTGATTTTTTTGAGTAAATAAAAAATATATATTATATATTGTATAAATATGTAAATAATATATTTTTTATCATTTATCAAAAATTGTGTTGCTCAGAAAAAAGATTGAAAGAACAATCCCAAAAAATTTGAATTTACAATGAACTGCATGTAACACTGATGATTTGCATCAATCAATATATAAAAAATAAATGATCAACATATGGTTTAAATTAATACCGAAAATTAAAAAAATGTACTATGTTATGTTAGCAAAGCCGAACAAATGTGTGAAAACATTAAAATCCGACTGGGCCCATTAGTTGTGTCTATTGCATCTGAGGACAACAAATGGGCCCTTAACTCTTAATGGATATTAAAAAGCCCAATAAATTAATAATTAATCATTTTTCAGGAATTTAGACGAGCTGGGAATACTAATAATAATAAAGCAAGTTTTAAAATAATTATCATATTTTGTCAGTTAATACAATATACACGAAAGAAATTAGGAATATATGTAATTTTTGTTTAAATAATATTTTATATAAAAATAATAATATATTCATTATTATTCGAAAGTTTATTTTAAAAGGTCGGTAATTGTTTAACTCAATAAAAAAAAAAAAAAAAAAAAAAATTATATTAGCGAGCCAAGAGGTTCAAAAGACGGAAGGATAATCGAGTCAGAGAATTCTAACCGCACGATTGAACTCATCCGACGGTGGAGCCAACATTACCCGCGGCGCCGCGTCCGTTGTGCATTTGCCGCGTAAACACCAAAATATATTCACAGGATAAGGCTCAGAAATTAATAAAATAATTTAAATTTATTGAAATTTATTTTCGTAACTGCAGCCTTTTGGTACGCGCTGCAGACGGCTAGCGCGCCAAACGACCGTCGTTGACGGCGCTATCGAAACCAACGGCGAAGTACATAACGGCGTTAGTCTGGTTCGCCGTCGCCGGAAAGAGGTTCGTCGTCCGGCGGTAGGAACCGAACCACTTGTTCTGCAGAAACCGATTCTTCCTCCACGGCGGCAGATGGAGGCCTCGGAATCTCAACGATATCCTCGCTGCGTCACTCATCGACTTCACAATCTGTTTCAAGTCGTCGGCTGTACCGACGAAAACCGCCGGCAAGTGCTGCAACAGATGCTCGTACGAATTCGTCGGCCGCGCGATCTCAAACTCCGGCGGAAAATTTAAATCGACGAAATATCTCGCTGACGAGCAGTTTTTTTCGAGAACATCGATGAACTCGTACTTTCCGGCGGTGATTCCGCCGGATCTCTCCCAATGCGTCTTGCAAATCCCCGCATTATACCCTAAATCTCTCAAAGCCGCCATCACATACCTCCGCATCGTCCGTTTATCCGATTCCACACTCGCAAACCGCCTCACTGCCTTCGAAACCTCATCCGCGAGCACATTTTTAAACTCATCCGTCCGATCTAACAAAATCGGCTTAATCAAATCCACAAACCGCAAACACCTCTCGTCAATCGACGACTCGCACTCGGAAACGGAGTCACGGTCGCCGCTGTCCAGCGACGACTCGCCGACGTCGCGAGCGCTGAAATCGAAAAAAAGCTCTGGTAAACTCAACGATACGACGTTGTCATCACCTCCACCGCTGTACTCGCTGCCGCTGGTGACGTAATCGAGCTCCGATCGATCCTCGCCGACGATTCGCGCCTTCACCTTATTATCCAATTCAGCAGTAACTCTCTTCATTTTTCCAGAGCCATACATGTTTCCTCCTCCTGCACCTGCGAAAATTATTCGACAGCAATCTGGAACGCCTCCGATCAATAATTTTATCAGTACAAACTGAGCAAACTCATGGAATTTTCGGCGAATATTCGAGAGAAACTGGAGATTTGCGTGATAGAATATGCAAACATTTTTCCCAAATCTCATTTTGAAATTACTGTAGAAAATGAGAGTGTTGAATAAATACTAAGGGCATCCACAACGGGAGACGCTTGTTGAGAAGCGCCTCCCACGTCATCATTTATTAAATAAAAAAAAATTAAAACACCAATTAACATAAAAAACGGTACATTGCGAGTGTACCGTTTCTTCCAATTTTTGTGGGCCATGGTCCATTTTCTTATTCAATAAATATTAAAAATAATATTTATAATATATACTTTTTTATTTATATTTATAATAATTTATTTTATTTAAAATATTATATTCTAATTTTGTTATATAAAATTTTATTTAATATTTATAATTTGAAATATATTTTTCAAGAAATAAAAAAATTAAATATTTAACTTTAATTATTATGCAAAGTGTGAAATTATTATTTTTATTTATTTATGCTAAATAATTGTTTTATTTTTATTAAATATTATAAGAATAAAATATGATTGCAAAATATAATTTTATTTTATAAATAGATAAAATATTTAATGAGGTGGAAAAAGTAAAGATTTTAAAGGGTTCTTTGATGTGAATGTAAAATATAGTTGGAGTTCTTCGTGACGTGGCAGAGAGAGAAACTGACGTGGCAGAGAGAGAAACTGACGTGGCATAGGAGAGAGAATGGGAAGAAACCCTGGATGGGTTTCTGCGTTGTGGATGGCCTAAGGCTCAATGGGAGCATCTTTTTTGGCGCACCGACACGTGGAAAGAATCCATTGGGCCAAGTGGATTTTGGGCACGGAAATTACTGTGAATATAATAAGTGATGGTATCGGACTTCACGAGTACTATTTTTAAAAAAATTTAAATATTTCAAATATTTTATCTAAATTGAACCATATTGTAATTGGTGATAGGTATTTATGTTAACTTATCCCATAATAAGTGGGCCCAAATATAAAAAAGCCCAACATGTAGAAAAGGGTTATATACAAGAAACAACACCGTATGGCCCATAAGCCCAATGGCACATATCATCGTAGGGCCCAACATTTAAATAAAAATACATATTTTAGGGAAAAATAAATATTTTAAATCTTATTATAAATTATAATTATTATTTTTGGTCGATTATGATCACATTCAAACAAAAATTAATCGGTTTTGGTATCATGATAATTGATTTGAACACCGTTTTAGAAAAATAATTAAATTTTACAGAAAATCAATACAATCGTTCAAACATGATCATATTTATGTCATATTAAAATTGTTTAATATATAGTATTTATATATGTAATTCAATTATAATATTTTTTACAATTATTTAAAATATAAAAATATGTCATATTTTTAAATTTTAAAACATAACTGCAAAAAAAAAAAAATAAATAAAATAATTATAATAAATCAATACACTTTATATTTTTAATAATTATAATTTGAGATATTTATAGTTAAAAATGAAAATGAAAATGAAAATATTATTTTAAAAACATATAACAAAATTATATTAAAAAAATATACAACCGTAATCTATATTTTAACTAGAAAATTTTTAATTATCCATTAAACATATAAATTATTAAAGTTTTTTCGTTATGTAACTTTTTCAAATATATATATTTATTTTTAAAAGAATTTACTAAAAATATGAAAAAAAATATATATATATACCTATATATAATTACCGTTATTAAAAATATATATTGATTGTCATTATTTTTATTGCTATTTTTGAAGAAGACAAGTACATAATATTGAATTGAAACTTATTTTTCATATTAAGTCAAGTTGAGCATTTAAAAAGACCTTCATGATAGCTAATTAATTAATTAATTAATTAAAATAATATATATATATATATATATATATTTAGGGTATGCAATCCACTGCTTAACTTACGGAAGAAATCCATCATTAACTTGCAAACCTTTATAATTATTACTATTGACTTAGGGTTAAAACACTTTTTCATTGCTGAAAATTAGGCAATAAAATTTCTCAATTTGGGACATATATATATATATATTACTAAAAAAAAATTCTTAATTTGGGACAACTTTTAGAGAAAAAAAAAAATATATATATATATTTAGTAAAATACAATATTTGGTTGTAGTTTGGAATTAATTTGAAATGTGATGTTTGATTTGAATTTTTGTTTAAATAGTATTGTAATACTCCCTCTGTCCGTCCAATTACAGAGTAGCTATTTCGATAAATACCCCACTTTTTTTCTACAAATATCTTTACTTTACATCATATCATTAATTTTATACCAAAAACTAAGGGCAAAAATATCATTACACTACTTTTACCTACCCACTATATTTAAGATACTATTATTTCTTAAACTATGCGCCAAAAGTAAATATATATTTTATCCGTTGACTGAGGAAGTATGCTATTCTGTAAAATAAAATAATTTATTTTTATTAAAATTGTGCAAAATAAATAATTTTGACTTTGATTTGAAATATTTTTTAAAAAGAATATTTTAAAAATGACCATAGAATTAGATAATCGATTTTACAGTTACAACGAGTATTTTTTAGTCCGACAGAGGTTAATACGTACCATTATAGTATTTTATCTGTCTGGTAAAATTAAAACATCTGAGTCCAGACACAGATATTATAATAAATGAATATTTTTATTGAAAATATGATAAAAAATAAAAATATAGTCGAGAGTATTTTTAAATTTTTAATTAAAAATTTAAAAGAAATAGAATAAATTTTACGAAGAAAATCAATAATTATTAATTTACACACTAAAGGTACAATATTCTTTATATATAAAAATGGATTCTCGACTGTGACGAATTTATTCTTTAATATTGAACTGATAATTAAAGTTTATGATCCAAGTCAAATTAAAATCAATGCGAGATATATATATTTATTTATTTATTTATTTATTTATCTATAATAACCTAAAAGTAAATAATAATTAATTGTAATTAATTTATGTGCTCAATAGATTTAAAAATTAATAACTCATATGGTGGGGGCGATGTCTGCTGCCTTAAATATAGATTAATTAATTAATTAATTTTAAATTAAAGAAAAACAATAATATTTGGGTTACTTTAATTTTATTATATATATTTCTAATAGAAAAATAAAATAAAATTATTCAATACGTTTTTCACACTATAATATCAAATTAAGTATATTTTTCTCATAAAGTACTAAATTAAATTATCAATTTTAAATTATTTTTATAATTTATTTCAAAATTTCTATATAAATTAAACCTAAATAGGCACGTACCCATCACCAATTCAGATGTAGTCAAATTCATTAAAATAAAATAATGCTTATGTGAATTGACAAGAATACCCCTCATGTAAGGAGCATCATTAAGTGCTAAATACCTCATTATTATTCATTTCAATTGCATAATTATTTTGATTAAGCATAATTAAAATTTCAGATTAGGGGCACCACATAATAATTTAATGATCTAATTTATTTATTTATTTATTTAAAAATATACCATAGTGGACTATGTTGCAATGTTCATTCACAATAACTTAATAAAAGTTATTATTATTATTATTATTATAAATAAAGGTGCAATTTAGTGGGGAAAAAGAATTTGGACACTTCAATTGGGACAATGTCAGTAGTGAGAATTAATTGATTATAAAAGGTCAACTATGCAGATAAAACATATCCGTGTAACGATATTTGGGTAAATAAAATATAATTAGTAATTAATTAAATTGTATATTAATAAAAATAATTATTTAAAAGAACAAATTAAAGATATAAAAAAAAAAAAATGAAATAGAAAAAATGCAGAATGCATATACAAGATAAAATGTTTAGTAGATGGTTTGTTTACTTTTTTTTTTTTTATTTTTTTATTTTTACTTTGAACAATTATATGAATGTGATTTCTACAGAGTGAATTTGTCTATTTTACAAATGATGAGAATTAAATAATAAAACTTTTGCCAATTTTTTAAAAAATTACTATTTGAATTCTTTTTTAAAAAAATAAATTTTTCACAACCCATTTTGTTAAATATTATTTTTAATACTAAATTCAAATCAATTTTCTTCAAACTTATCCATAAGAAACATACTTCTATAGTTCTTACTCTTACTTAATTTGATCTTAATTTTGTTACAATGCAATTAACAATATTCGTTTTTTTTAAAATATATATTTCATTAGGTGATAGAATTGTAGAAAAATAGTAATAAAATATGGAATTGCAGAAAAAATAATAATAATAAATTCAACGAAGAATTGAAAATTAATTATTCTATTTGTTCAAAAAAATAGAATTTACTTCAAAAAAAATATAATAAAGGAGAGTTACATGAGACAAAATAATTAATTATCAAAACGGTAAATTGAATAAAATATATTTTAGCAAATAAATATGAAATATATTTAGTTAGTAAATTAGTTTTTTTTATTTAATCTTTTTATTTGAATAGTGATTTAAATAAAATATTTAATAAAATAAAATAAAATTTATTATAAAAAAAATTAAATAATACACAATTTAAAAATTGTAAAGTAAACAAAATTTATTTTTATGAAAAATATAAATGTCGAAGTAGTAAATGAAAGAAAAATTAAAATTATGGTACTCTCAAATAAATATCTGCATTTTCTATATGGTAGAGAATTAAAATAAGAGAATATGAAGATTTAATTATCAGTTGTCAATTTTATATGTCAAGTGAAAAAGAGATATGAAATCATTTTTATTTTCAATTTTTATGTTATTTGGGTTTAATGAATATAATATATTATATCAATGGGTTGTGATATAAAATATGATTACTTTTAAAAATATATATGAATTACTAAAATAAAATAAAAAAATAAAAATGTATATGTAAATATGATATTTTTATAAATTAGTATAATATTAAATAATATAAATTAAAAAACATGTAAAAATTATTTAATATAAATAAAAATTACATATCTTTGTGAATAATATATATATATATAAATTAGACAGAAAAAGTATTAGTTATACTATAAATAAAAGTATATATTTACTTTTTTTTTTTTTTTTTTTTTTTTTTTTTTTGTTTTCGAGCTTAAAAAATACTCCCTCCGTCCACTTAAATGTTTATATATTTTTATCCAATTACAAAGTTAACATTTCATTAAATACTCTATTTTTTTTTTCACAAATATCCTTACTTTACATCACATAATTACTTTTATACAAAAAAAAATAAGGACAAACATGTCATTATACTACTTTTAACTACTCACTATAATTAAAATACTATTATTTCTTAAACACCGAAGTGGACGGATGAAGTAATATTTTTCCAGTCTCATATTTATTTATACATTTCTTTTTTGTACGAAATATAGTAGAAATAAAAAATTATTAGTATTGTATGATATAAAAATATTGATATTTGTGTAATACCTGTAAATTTAAAAAATATTTGTAATATTAAGTAAATGGTACTGTAGATACTTTGTTACGAGATAAATAAAAATAAAATAAATAAATAAATTGTTAAAAGACAAAAATTATAATATTTTATTCAAAAGTAGTGTAAAAATTATTTTGCAACTGTATTTTTTTTTAATAATAATATGATCGTAAACTAAAAGTATTTGTAAAAAAATATTTTATATATAATAAATAAAATAATGATTTTATAATAAACCATTCAAAATACAAATATAACATTTTGTGAGTGTACCTACAAAATATAAGTACATTTTAAAAATGGTATTAGTAAAATTTTGGTTGGCCATATATAAAATAAACTCTGAATTTAGAAAATAGAAATAATAAAGAATTGAAAAAGGCAAAGCAGCGGCAGTGTATTTGTACACGACGAAAACCTTTGGTACCGCCAGCTGTCCTGTCCGGCCATGGATTCTCTGCAGGTTGCGTAACCCCAATGGAGGGTCCCTCCCCCTACAACCCTCTCTCACTCTCCACCATTCTCCACTCTCATTCTTATTCCGCACTCCACTCGCCGGAGTATTCTGGAGGAGGTGCGGGGACGACGGAATAGGAAGTTCTGTGAGAGTAAACGAAACGCCAACGCCGACGGATTTGAGTATTTTCCGGTGACAGCGATCATGAAGAAGAGCGGTGCGTCGGACGGCGATCCAGCGGCGGCGGAATTGAAGGAGGAGCTGCGGAAGGCGGTGGAGGCGATTGTGGATGGGGATGGTGGCGATTTGGAGCAGATTGATAGAGCGCAGCAAATGCTGTGTGCTCTGAAGGAATTGAAGGTGCAGAGATTCGATAAAGGTCGTTGGAGCGGCGGAGCGGCTGCCGGAGAGGTTCCGGAGGAGTTTAAATGTCCGCTGTCGAAGGAACTCATGCGAGATCCTGTGATTGTCGCCACTGGCCAGGTTTTTGTTTCCTGCTTTACGCTCTGTGCGTTTTCCTTTACGAATTTTTGTCATTTTGTGTTTGCTGCCATGGATTGGTCGTTTCAGAAGGTTTTGAACTTTTGATCTCTGCAATTGTAACTGAATTTTGTCGTAACTGTGGACGATTTAGGGATAAGCGGTTTGTGGAATTGTTCGTAACTGTTCTGGAAGTTTCTAGCGTTTGAAATGTTGATTTCGAAGGAGACGAAAGCAAATCTTGTCAATGGTGATGCAGATTCTTTAGAAAACCAAACTGCAATTCAGTTAAATTGTTATCTAAAATAAGTGCTCACTGTTCTTCGTATTGTTCTTCTGTCTTCGATTCATTCCTGTGACTTTTTTGTTTCTTTGTCGACTGTAAATTTTGTCTTCAAAAGGAATCTGTCTGTATAACAGTATAAGAATTCTAATACATTAGTCTTCTATGTTGATTAGGTTATTGCATTTTCGATCTCTGATTTGTTTTCCAAAACAAATTTCTGTATAACAATATGATCATTCAAAATGTAGCTACGGTGGTATTTTTAATCGAAAAGTTTGATTAATCTGGTGATTGCATTTTCGATATCTGATTTGTTTTTCAAATTGAATTTCTATAACAATATAAGAATTCGAAATGTAGCTACGGTTGTATTGTTAATCGATATCGGCAAAGTTCGACTATGTCTGATGCATCAGTGTTCTATGTTAATCCTGTGTTTACATTTTCGCTATCTGATTTGTTTTCGAAACTAATTTTGCAGACTTACGACAGGCCATTCATTCAAAAATGGCTAAAAGCCGGAAACAGGACATGCCCCGAAACTCAACAAGTGCTTTCACACACTTCCCTCACACCTAATCACTTGATAAGGGAGATGATCCCAAAATGGTGCAAGAACAACGGGATCAAGTTCCCAGATTCGATTCGGTACACCGACGCCGACGGTTTGACAAAAAGTGAACGCAGCCGGTTTCTCGATTTACTCGGGAGAATGTCTGCCGTCTTGTCCGAACAGAGAGAAGCTGCTAAAGAATTACGGCTGCTAACAAAGCGACTGCCTTCGTTTCGATCGCTTTTCGGCGAATCTCCTGATGCCGTACCTCGGCTACTATCTCCCCTCTCTCAAACCAAGTTTCAGAATGAGCTGCACCCGAACCTCCAAGAAGATTTAATCACGACACTTCTGAACATCTCCATCCACGACAGTAACAAGAAGCTTGTAGCCGAGACACCTATGGTGATTCCCATTCTAATGAACGCATTAACATCGGGAACAATCGAGACAAGGAGCAACGCTGCAGCAACCCTCTTCACATTATCGGCGCTCGACTCAAACAAGGTGCTAATCGGTAAATCCGGAGCTATTAAACCCCTAATCGACCTATTGGACGAAGGTCATCCTCTGGTGATGAAAGATGTCGCTTCGGCGATTTTCAATCTCTGCATCATCCACGACAATAAGGTCATAGCCGTTAGAGATGGTGCAGTGGAAGCAATTCTGAAAAAGATTATCAGTCGAACACATGTTGACGAGCTGCTTTCAATACTCGCAGTCCTCTCCACCAACCAAACGGCTATCGACGAAATGGGAAGGCTCGATGCAGTTCCTATCCTGTTTTGTATAATCCGGGAGACCTCCTGTCCTCGAAATAAAGAGAATTGCATCGCCATCCTACATACGATCTGTTTCAGCGATCGGTCAAAGTGGAAAGAAATGAGAGACGAGGAAAGCACACATCGTGTAATATCTCACCTTGCACAAAATGGCACTTCCCGAGCTAAGAGAAAAGCCAACGGCATTCTTGAAAGATTGAACAGAACCATCAATCTTACACATACCGCGTGACGGGAGTGCTCTAAGTGGATATTCTGTAAATTTTCGTTCCCTGCCGAGATCGAGGTATCTTCTGTTAATTTCGAGCCCTTATTAACTTTTGTGCATATGTTTTTTTTTATATATATATATATATATAAGCATGGTTTGATCTCTATGTGTTTTCGGTTTATATTTATTTTGAATATATTGTTTTGAAGCTTTCCTCTAATTGCATGTTTTACTTGTGGCATGGTTTTTTAGAAGATATAATTTTGATAGTTTTTTTTTGTTAGGATGTTTTATTTTTTTTTAGAGTTATCTTCTATACAATTATGGATTCTAAGAGTGCTCCAAAGGTTGTGTTTGTGTAGAATGATAGGTATTTTGTATGTTTTACCTTTGACATAATTTTGATAGTTTTGGCCACTACTTCTTTATTTAGGATTTTATTTTTTTTATTTTTTTTATTTTTTAAAATTTTACTCCCTCTAAGCCAATTCAATAGAGTCTTTTAAATTTTTATTGGCTAGTGCCTATAACTATAAAGTAATTGTATGTGTAATAATATATTAGTAATTTAAGTAAAAATTAATAGTATTATGATATTAGTGTATGATTATCTTGATATTTTGAAGTGAGACAGACGAAAATCGTAATAAAGTTATTTTGAATTTAGATGGGAAGAGTATTTAGACAGGTAAAATGTGAAATATTGTAAAAGTTTTGGGACATCTCAAATTAGAAATAATAGCAAAAGATGTGTGACAGTAGCATTAAAACGTTGTTTCCGCACAAGGAATTTGATTATGTTTGCTTATATTGTCGTGACCGTAGCATTAAAACGTTGTTCCACACCTGTCGGTGATAGTTAGTTACATGCTTGTTCTTTGGTGTGCGTCTCTTTCGCCGAATAAATGCTTTTTAAGATATTTCATACGATTCTTGTGAGATTTTGCCATTCTTGTGACTGTTTTATTTGTTGTGTTCTTCCTTATTCGTTCCGTTTTCAACCCTTGTTTTTACCATCATTGAAACTTCTTGAATTGACGGCCAAAGTTAATGGTATGAAAGTTGGCGCCGTGTTGCTTAGTTTGCGCGAACACCACATTGTCTATGTGCGGATATGTTTAGGATTACGCGGACATATTTATTATTTTTATATGCTTATTAAGTCGAAAAACAAAACAAAAAAATCAAATAATTGCATATAACCTCAATATAAGAGTTATGGCTTATTGTGTCTATTTTCTTAGTTGCAGTTCAAGAGCAAGTTTAGTCTTGAAGATCCTATGCATTCTGTTGATTTTAGTTTTGTTTATGGAAGTTTTGTCCAAATGAAAAATACCGATTTGATTTTTCATGCGAATTTAGGTATATTAATATTTTATAAATATTTAAGCGTAAAGAAGTGTAGATTCTTTGTACCCTTGACATTAGTAGGATTAAAAAATAAGGACAATAAAAAAAAAAATATTTTGGTATTTAAGTAAAAGGTATTTTTACTAAAAGAAAAGGAAACAAATGCTTTTGATTTGGATAGACGAAAATGACAATGAAAATTTTTTATTTGAACGGAGAGAGTATAATTTAGGTTCCGTTTTGAAGGTTGTTTTTTGAATTTTTTTGAAAATGAAAAAAAGTTAAAATATTTTATGTGATATTTTGTGAGATGAAATATATATTTATTGGTATGTGTTTTTAAAAGATTAATGTAAATGAATAGTTCAAAAAATGATTTAAAAATTGGTTTGATTTTATGCGTGTTAAATCAATATTGACTCAATCAACAATACATATTGATAACACATAATACTAATAATACTAATAATAATAATAATATAAAACATATGTTCTATGTAATTTTACATAATATATGCTTTTATATGGTTCATCAAATATTATAATATGATAGAAATAAATAATAATGTAATATTTTGAATGTAAAATTGTGCTTACCAAATAAAGAAATAGATAAATGTGTGTTGGTAGCAAAGGTAATAATAAAATAACATTAACGTGTTTGTTTGGGGGATTGGATTTATCTTTTAATATTTATCCCATTTTTTCCCCACAAAAATATCAAATCGAACACTTATTTTTTATTTTTTATATTATACTAAAAATCAATTTTACATTCAAAACATAACATCAACACATATTTATATCACATCATACAACTATTTAAATTCAAAATTTTTACTATTCAAATCCAAATTTAAAATTCAAATCCCCAAACAAACACACCCTTAATATATAATAAAGTCATATGACCTTAAGTTACGGTGTGTTTGTTTGGGGGATTGGATTAGATTTACACTATTTATCCCATTTTTTTCTCCCTAAAAATATCAAATCAAACACATATTTTTATTTATTTTTTATATTATATTAAAAATCAATTTTACTTTCAAAATATCACATCTATACCTATTTATATCACATCATAAAATCATATAAATTCAAAATATTTACTATTCAAATCCCAACTCAAAATTCAAACCCTCAAACTAACGCACTTCAGCCCCGCCCTAGCCATAGGGGCCCTCAGGGCCCATTTTCTCTATGGGCCATAGGAGCCCCCAATTATATATATATATATATATCTTATATACTTAATATATAAATATATACTATTATTATTGTTAAATGTTTTAAAAAATAAATTAAATTAATTTTTAAATAATTTTTTTTTTCATATTATTTTTTAAATAAATTATGTTTATATCAATTTTTTAATTATTTATTTATATGTTTTAGTGTATTTATTTAATTGTATAATTTTATATATTTTTGTTGTGAATTGTGTAAAATTATGAAGATATGATAGAGAATAATATTTTTTTGTGTTTTTTATATTTTTATTTTTATGGTTATATCTTTAAATTTGTATATTTTATTATATTTTGTGGTGATATTTTTTAAAATTTGTGTATTATATAATAAGCTTATTTTTTTACCAAAAATTTTTAAGTATGTTTTTTTAAAAAAAAAACTAATACTATATTACTTCACAGATTTTGATTTTGAGTTTTGATTTTGAATAGTAAAATTTGGAATTGAAATAGATGTTTGATGTGATATAAATATATATTGATGTGATGTTTTGAATGTAAAATTTAATTTTAGTATAATAAAATAAATGAAAATTGAATGTTTGATTTGATATTTTTAAAGGGAAAATAAAATTGGAATAGTAACAGAGCCAATTATTTTTTTTTATTATTTACATAATTTGTTATACCTTATATCAAAAAATTTTCTTCAAATCAAAATATAAAACAAAACACCCTAAATAATACTTTTGTCTGAAAATTTCTTTTAAAGATTTTGACTATTTATAAAAAAAAAAAAAAATTTAAAAATATTAAATCATACTTCCTCCGTCCTAAACTATAGTCTTGGTTGAGTTGGACATAAGATTTAAAGAATGATATTATATTGATAGTAAATAAAAAATATAGATAAAAGACATTTTTGTCATTGTGAGTGAATTAGTGTAAAAAGTAGTGACAATTGTGTAATAATAATGAAAGAGTAAGGGTAGTTATATAGGGATATGGTTATTTATAGAAATAAGACTATTATTTTGGGACGGAAAAAAATAGTAACCAAGAATATTGTATTGGGACGGATGGAGTATTTTTTTAAAATTTTTTTTATATTATGCTAAAAAATGTCACATGAATTTTATTTATATTTTGATCTTTCAGTATATAAAAATTAATTTTATTTTAACATTTACATTAAAAATGTGTAAAACTATTTTTATTATTACGCTAATATAAAGATATATATATATATTTAGGGGCCCACTATTTCAATTTTGCCCCGTGCCTCAAAAAAGCTAGGAACGGGCCTGACTTCCTCGTCCCAAAATTACAATCTTATTTGAGTTGAACACAAAATTTAAAAAATATTACTATTATATTAATAGTTGGCAAAATATATGAGTAAAATATTTTTTTTGTTTTTTGAGTATATTAGTATAAAAATAATTATATTTATATAATAATAATGAAAAAATAAAAATAATTTTATCGTGTACGAATATTTATGAAAATAAAAAATATTTTTGGGACGAACACAGAGGTAGTAATGGGATGGAATTGACAAAGACTACACATAGGCGGTTATAGGTAAGGAATTAATGAATGTTAGTCTATTTGTTGATTTGTGTGGAGAATATTTAATTGGATATTCAATTTAAGGAAAAATAAAATAAAATAAAATAATTAAATTTTTATTTGTCACATCAGGAATCTGACCACTTTTTGGAATAGTTTGGTTGAAAGTTGGAATCGGATATAAAGACACTTTTGAAAGTAATAAAAATACTTTTTAATGTTATTATATATATATATATTACTATGTCCATCCCTCGTACATGTCTGATATACTGTAGATACGATATTTTAGAAAGAGTATAATTAGTAAATAATTAAGAATATATTAGTAAAAATAATTATCTTATAATATAAATAATTATAAATTAAGATTAAGATAACTAATTAGTTTAATTAATTTTTTTAAAAAAAAATTAAAAAGTTTAAAATGACATTAAAGTGTGTAATTATTTTCCAAAAAAAAAAATGACATAGTATATATGACGGACAGAAATGACAAGGTGAACATGGTATGTGGAACTTAGGGAGTATAGTTCATGAACAGTGTCAAAAATAAGTTTGTAAGCCATATTCACTAATCTAAACGAGTTTTGTATTTTAGTTTTAAGTTATAGGTTATATATTTGTTTGTATGTAAGATGTTGTGTATATATATTTATAGAAAAAATATATATATATATATTAATATATTGAAAGAAAAAAATATACTATATACTTTTTAGGTTAAATAAGTATTTGGTATATTATTTTAAAAAAGAAATGATGTGATTTTTTCAAAATAAATAGTAAAATAATCATGTTAAAAAATAAAATACTGAATATGAACAATAAAAATAAAAACATAACTATGTTATATAATATATAACAAAATATAACAATTATACTAATAATAATATATAATAATATAGATATTGTAATATATATTATAGTATTTATATATTTATATATATAGATATAGGGAGAGGAATTGAGAGACAAAATAGGGAGATATATTGAGATAGAGAGAGAGAGAGAGAGAGAGTTGTTTTCACATATATTGAAATGTAAGCATGACTGAGAAGCAGCTGCAGTCTACAATTTGATAGCAAGCTGTTTTCACATATAAGGATCTACCGCGTGTTTGTTTTATTCTATTTTTGTAGACGCATGGCAAATTTGGGACACCCAAACACGGCCTTAGCAAATGATTAATAATCATACAACAATAAATTAAACCATTTTTATTTTTATTTGTAAAATATATAAATGTATTAAAATTAAATTAAATAGAAAAGATAAATATTATTAGTTTATTTATATACTCCCCTGTCCCAGATACTATGTTCACGTTGCTGTTCATTCCACGTACCATGTCACTTTTCTTTTTCGAAAAATGATTACACACTTTAATCTCATTTTAAATTTTTAAATTTTAATTTTTTTTAATTTTAATTAAATTAATTAGTTATCTTAATCTTAATTTATAATTATTTATATTATAGGATAATTATTTTCACTAATATATTCTTAATTATCTACTAATTACACCCATCCTAAAATACCTGTACAGTGTAGCAGACACGATATATGGGACGGAGGTAGTATTATATTCACAGTAACTCCCGTTCTCAAAGTCCACATAGCCCAATGGAAATCTTCCATGTGTCAGTGCCAAAAGAGATATGCCTTTATGCTCCCATTGAGCCTCAGTATTTATTTAACTCTCTCATTTTCTACAGTAATTTCAAAATGAGATGGGAAAAATGTTTGCATATTCTATCACGCAATTATTTACTTTTATTAATATTTTTTTATTTGTATAAGAATTTAATAATATATATTAAATATAATTATAACTATATTATTATTATTATTATTATTATTATTATTATTATTATTAAAGCCCTAATTACAACATATTTACTCCACCGTCTCCCCTTCTTCCTCCTTGGTTCAGTTAGTTAAAAATTTTCATTTCTTCTTCTTTAATTGCTCTTGCTGCTTCTTCGTCCAATTCCAAAAATATGGAAAAGAAACAGAGAGTGGTTTGGCCAAATATGTATATTCGGTACTCAACCGTTCATTGTTCTTATCGGAGTCGCGGCG